AAACCAAAGGGAAGGGCCAAAAACCCCAAAAATACGTGGTTTCAGTGGTTTCCCCCCCCACCTACTGGTTAACCCATGGTCTTAAATGGTTTCCTTTTTACCCCCCTGGTGGGCACACTTTGGTTTTAAAGTGGTCCCCCTTTAGGAAAAATATAGGAGGGGTCATGGTTTGGTAATAGAGTTGTGGGGGGATTTGGGAAAAAACTCCCCCCATTTCCGTCATTGAAGGTAAAAGTGTTTTTGTAAATTTTAAAAAATAGGTTAGATAAATGAAGAGTGGGTTTTGAGTTGGGGCCTGGGCTTTTCTTTTGCTACAGGCTGATGTGCTCCTTCCTTAAGTGAATGTGACCTGACCTGGGCTAGGGGTTTGGGGCATTTGCTTAACCCTGGTAGGAGACTTGGACCTGCCTCGCGTGGGCCAGTTTTCCTGCTGGGAGTGTTCCCTTTTTTTCTTTGACGACATAGTTACCAAGGGCAAAATTTTTAAAGGGCCCAATTAAACCTTGGTTACTTTTTTCCCTTACGAAATTTCAATTTTTGGGTTCAGGGTTTTTTTTTTTTTTTTTTAGTCTTTTTTTTGTAAATGTGTTTAAAATAATTCGCATGTTTCTGACCCTTTCCCGCAAGCATGCGTCAAACGTGATGGCAACCGGGAAACGAATGTTGAATGATTCCAGCGGGCATTTGGGCAGCGTTGGTTTGGGCACGAGCGAATTTTGGGACAAATGGAATTTTTGGGGCCCTTGGGGGTGCTGTTTGGGGGTGTAACAAGGGAAAAATTTATGAAGGGATTCGGGAAAACCGGCCAAAGGCCGGGACTCGAGTCCTGGAGATGGGAAGTACAGTGGGCTGCACTTGAAGGAGGGGGTTAAAGCTGCAGTTTTATTTTGTAGTGTAAGTATTCCTCTGGGGAAGACAGTGATGGAAGTGAAAGATTTAAAAGGGTTTTTTTTTTTCGGGCCACCCCGCTTGGTTTGGGGACGGACGAGTGTTAAAAAAAAATAACTTCAAAAATTTTTCGTTACAGATAAAAAAATTTTTTAATTCCCTTTTAAGGCTTTGGAAAAGAATCAAAATTTAACCCTATAAAACAAACACGCATGATAACGGAAAACAAAATACTGTGAGGTTTAAATTTACAAAGGTGGACGGGCAGAATGTACCCGAGAGGGGAACAGAACAAGGGGGACCAACTGGAAGTTGGGAAAACTCAGATGAGTCAAAAAGGGGTTTTTTGGAATATTTCTTTAGTCAGAGGTTGTCAAAGGGAAGGGGGAACTGGGCTGGGAAGTGAAAGTTTGTGGAAGAGGAACCTTTCTTGGGTTTTTAAGGATCAAAAAGGGTTTAAAAAACTCATGGAGGAGGGGAGATGGAACTAGTAGTGTAAATTAAATTAAAAGGCGGGGCAGGAAACTATGTTTCGACCCCCCGCAAACCCCCAAATAGGTGAAAAAATACAGCAGTACTGGGAAGCACCCAAACCAAAAAGCATTAAACAAAGGGAAATTTTTTTTCAAAGGTTTTTAACATTGTTTTATGTTAGCCTTCACGCCTGACAAGGGCCGGATGTACACACACACCTCAGAGCTTCTCACACCTAAGTTATTTCTAGAGAAAAATGGAAGTTTACTGATTACACTATAACAGTAATGGTGACTAAGTATATACTGAGTTGCGGGTGAAAACCCAGTACAAAAGCTTGAACAATATACCTGCGACAGTACGCTACCCCAGATGAAGACTAACAGGTACTGACTATACAGACTCCGCCTGGTTCAATGTATGAAGACAGTACCTGGTAATCTTTTTCTGATGTGGCATACCTCCTTTTATGCTATTTTTAAAGAACTAAAAACGAAGAAACACTGCGGTTGGCCACTGGCCCATGCTAGGCAGGTCCAATTCACACCTACAACCGACCGTTGATAAATTAGACACATGTGCAACTCTTGGGTATCTTTTTGAGGAAACGTTTCGCCACACTGGCTCACGTCTATACATAGAGCCAACTTGAAGAGCAAGGGGAATGAGGGAATCAGTCCTCAACCTTGAGTCATGAGCAAATGTCCACCGCCTACAACTGTGCACCTCTCCGCCCACGATTATAACTGCTCTCCGCCCATATGCCGTATTCTATTCAAGATTGAATGGACTGACCACATCGACTCAAGGTTAGGGCTGAATACCTCTTCTCTCCCGCCTCTTCAAGTTTCTCCTATGTATAGACTGATGAAGCCACTGTGTTGGCGAAACGTTTCCTCAATAAAGATTCCCAAGAGTTGCACATGTGTCCCAATTTATCACCTGTCCCACCTATATTTAAAACTACCCAAAATCCTGCCACCACAATGCTACCTTGGAGTCTGTTCCATCATGTATGACTTCACCAAACTATTACTTCCCATTATCCTTTCTAGACCTAAATTTCTCCAACATTAATCCATTACTGAGAGTCCTGTCTTGATTAGAAAATTTTCAACACGTTGTTTCACACCTCCTTTATTTATTCCTTCTTTCCATCTATACACTTCAGTCATATCTCCATTATTCTTTCGCTGTCTTTGATCAACATTGTTAGCAACACGTTCTTTGATTTTTGGGTTTATACCAATGTAATTTTTAGTTCCTACTAACAGTGAATGATCACAAAAACGTCGACTTGCCAAAGAAACTGACTTCAGAAAAAGCGAAAGACTTTCCTGTTAAACCCCCAACACAGAGACAATAAATATGTCTCTCCGCCTCGCTGCTCCAATTCCACCGGAATATTTGCGGCGATGCGCAAGCTGATCAATATGGTCTACACGGTCTTAAATGCTTCAAAACGAAGGGCTGGCAAGCAAGACACAATGAAGTCAGCGACACCATACAGAGGAGCCTTGCTACAGCTGGATGCCCAGCCGAGAGAGAGCCCTGATCACTAGCAACCAACAACACTCACAACCCAGCAAACTGCCCAGACGGGATCACCATCTATCCTTGGAAGAATGGCAAGCTTTTAACATGGAACTTTAAATTAGACACATGTGCAACTCTTGGGTATCTTTATTGAGGAAACGTTTCGCCACACAGTGGCTTCATCAGTCCATACGTAGGAGAAACTTGAAGAACAGGAGGAGAATGAGGTAATCAGTCCCTCAACCTTGAGTCGATGTGTTCAGTCCATCAATCTTGAGTAGAATACGGCATATGAGCGGAGCAGCAGCTTATAACCGTAATGGCAGGAGAGGTGCAGCAGTCATAGGTGGTTTTCACATTTGTTCAATGTGGAAGTAGGTCGTGCCCCAAGAATTAGGCAAGCGAAGAATTCCTAAGTACTAAGATCCCAAGAAGTTGCAGTGTCTGACATCTACAAAACCTTAATCTTAATACTTAGGAATTCTTCGCTTGCCCAATTCTTGGGCACGAACCTACTTCCACATTGAACAAATGTGACACCACCTATGACTGCTGCACCTCTCCTGTTTATACGGTTTATAAGCTGCTTCTCCGTCATATGCCGTATTCTACTCAAGATTGATGGACTGAACACATCGACTCAGGTTGAGGGACTGATTACCTCATTCTCCTCCTGTTCAAGTTTCTCCTACGTATGGACTGATGAAGCCACTGTGTGGCGAAACGTTTCCTCAATAAAGATACCCAAGAGTTGCACATGTGTCTAATTTATCACCATGTCGGTTCTCTGAACCATTCATCTACAAACATGGAACTTTACCTGCGTATTGACGCTGGCTGACACCTGCATTCGTCAGTGTTGGGAAACAGGGAGGTGCTGCCGATCACAGGGAGGAGTACAAGATTAGCAAGTACAGAAACATATGCCATCAATATCAATTTATCTCAGAGGTATCAAAGACCCTGGGGGAAAAACGCCACACGCTTCCCCAAAGAAGTGTTTCGTACTCAATAAACACCACCAGGGACCTGAGGGCGGCCACTTTCATGTTCCAGTGCCTCAGCGTGGCCATCCAGAGGGAAATGCTTGCTGTTGTACTTGGCTCGCATCCCACTTCAGAGAGGTTGGAGGAGATTCATAATCTTTGATATATTGTACCAATGTATTCATGCTTGTGCTTTTTAAATAAATGATCCCTGAGCTTAAAAAAAAAATTCTGTATATGTACATATAGGGTAGAAGGAAAAGTCTAGTGACTTGTCTAGTGCTGACATGGGTTCGATTAAGCATATAATATATATATATATATATTATATTTAATATATTATATATATATATTATATATATATAATATATATATATATATATATATATATATATATATATATTTGTATTGTGTTCCCTGTTATAGCACCACTACAACCATGTCAATTAAGCCAGTCATAGCATATCTTCCTACTAAAATTTGGTGGCCTTGTATCCTGCGTCACCCACAAATTTCTCGGTACGGTGGATGAGAGTTTCAGGAAGCGTAGTGACTGTGTGTACCTCGTAGCACATTGGAAAGTTCTTAAATAAATGAAAACAAAATATGAACTGTTTTGTTCTGGCCGCTAGGCTTGACGTGTTTATTGTATTGTTTGTTGAAGTTTCTCATGAAAGACATACTGATGAACAAACTTTCACTGAGTCAAAGTTTTCGCCCTGTGATTAACATGATAAAGCTTTACATCTAAATTTTGTCAAAATAAAAGCTTGCTTTGTAAAGACTTTTCTTCACTATCACAGTCAGTATATCATTTATTTTCAATCTGTGGAGCTTAAATCCCACTGCGCAGAGGGTAAGAAAGAAGTGGAAAGATACTTGAGAGAGTGAGAGTGAGGGGGAGGGGAAGAAGGAAGTTGGTGGACATTGATATTATGTTGCAATATGTTGTTCTGAGTTACCATCGTTGGAACTACCTAACATAATAACTACTACCACACTCTTTCAACACCAGCCAGAGGGGTCGTGAAGGCCCTCTGCTATTACAGAACACCACCATCACCTACCTCCTCCCTCCTGCTTGCAACACATAAATGACAGACGTGTTTATGGTGAAGTATATCTATATTATAGTGCGAAAAAGTTGAGAGATCTGTCCATGAGAGGTTTTGGTCAAGGTTGGCAACTCAGTGGGAAGGTCAGAGTGTATATAAAGTGCGTGGTATCCACCTCTTACTCACTCCACCTTCAACACCAACAGCAGCATGTGAGTATTCCTGTAAACCAACGCTTTAATTATTATTACATGTACTGTGGGCTTTACATACTATGTATTAATAGCAGATATCCCTAGGGGGATGATGATCATGCACTGAAATAATTTCCTAGAAAACTGTAGATTAACTGGAATGTAAAAAAAAAATCGTGGCTATTATATATATATATATATATATATATATATATATATATATAATATATATATATATTATATATATATATATATAAACTGTAGTGTAAAGCACCCTTCTGGCAAGACAGTGATGGAGTGAATGATGGTGAAAGTTTTTCTTTTTCGGGGCCACCCTGCCTTGGTGGGAATCGGCCGGTGTGATAATAAAAAAAAAAAAATAATAATATATATATATATATATATATATATATATATATATATATATATATATATATATATATATATATAAATTATAATTAGCAGGGTGAAGGACCTGCTAAATCTGGTCACAGTTGCCATTTGATCCATACAGATTGAGATTTTATTAACATAATGTGCCAGACTATTTGATAAGTTTTGAAAGTTGATAATCAAACTTCAGTTCCCCCACACGTCGGTGTCACAAAAGTTTAAGTTAGTACAGAAAATTTAACTTGGTTCTTATCTCTTCAAGGTATTCTGGTATCTCACAAAGATATATTACAAACTATGAATCTTTAGATCATTATCTGTAGCCCGGTGAAAGTCTTTTAAAGTCGTAAGTTATTAGAATACCTTGATAACTTTTAGAAATAAGTATCACTAACTTTCACCTGACGTGCTGCCAGTGTTTTGTAATATTTACATTAAGAGGCCACAACAAAGGTTGAATCATTAACTCAATAATTGGTTAACTAAGTGTCCTGCAACATCAACCACATTCAATGTAACCTAACCTTAGGAATGTAATAATGTAACCTAGCAAAGTAATGAACTCCCTCAATATCTGGACTGATCTTAACCTGTTGTATGAAAAATTTAAAACAACTGGAGCAAATCCTGCCATAGCATGGTAAAATATGCATAGATCGCAGTACAGTGCAATTTACTTTCAGTTTACATCTGAATAAATCACATTTGTTTTAGCTGGCAAGGCCAAGTTAGTTTAATATGCTGGACCTTGCAGCAGCAGCACTTTAGCTACCCAACCTTATTATTGTGTTCATACAAGAAACTAAGTTTAGTGTTATTTATATTAATGGTGTCATACGTAGTAAGAATAATTTTATTGATGGTAGCCTAGTGCATCATCAGTGAAACACTTCACATTAATGAAGATTTACTACAAGCAACTCATCATGTGTAACTTTGCAAGTGTTGTCCGTATCACTTAACATCCTGCAGTCATTTTATTCGTAGTACTTCGCAGATCATAAATTTCACAAAAATAATATAATTTTTTAAGGGGATGGAGTGGACTCAGACCCGCGTCAGGAAACACCATTCATTTTTCATGAATATACATATCACAAGCTTTTCTTAGATATTTTATTTTGATGTGTATGTTGCAGAAGAGAACTATTTTATCTACACTATACTTGTATTCACAAATTAACTTTGTTTTCATATTTGATCAAATTTACTCTGCTGTTCTTAATATCAAATTTAAATGCAAGGATAAAGCTTTATTTTGAGGAGCACAAACAATAGTGGCTCACTCCTCCTGCATTAAAGGCCGATGCTTCTGCATTGCCTCAGAGAATTTTCTCCTTACTGTTACCAATCATGCAACATTGCATAGCTTCTGATGACCAAAGTGTGAAAGATCTTAAACTAAAGACTTCCATCCCCACGCGGCTTGTTGTGTACTGTTAAGATGACATATTTGCGATTGTACTGCTGTAATATATGTATTAAATAAAGAACGTTATAGAAGAGCCCACTAGATAAATACTTTCTACATTACCAGGCCCAGACGTAAATATATATTATAAAGTTTGAGAATACTACATCGCTTAAAATATCCATAACTACAGGGAAAATTTTATCCTAAGACTTCACAGAGGTCTGTGCAGGCACCTGGTGACTGTAAAGTTAATACCTAATTTATCTTTATTACATTTATAGGGGAACGCTAAACCCGTAAGGGTGATGGGAGGCAGTCAGATTTGAAGAGAGGAAGGGAAGGATTGATAAAATTCATTGGATCAAGAGCCCTCGTCAGCATTAAGGAGCGTCCCTTGAGGGGCCTTGAGTAACTGAAGAATCATTATCCACAATCATTCACTGGCAGAGAGCAGAATTCCCCGCTACCACTTGACCATATGCGAAATTGTCCCACAATCATTTTTAAATTTTGGAATTTTTAAAATTATCTATAAACCACTGTTATGCCACTCGTACGCTCCATTATAAGTTTCATGTAGTTAATTATTACTTCTGATATTTTTTTATTTTTGTACAGGAAAAATCTGGTGTATTCAGCAGTGGCTTTGGCTGCTATCATTGTGGTAGCGGAGGCCCAGACAGCCTTCCTGGCTACACTTAACAATGCCCAGATTAGTTACCTCTCCTCCGAGGAGGGTCTTAACGCCATGATCACATGTTACCAGACTAGAAACGACCCCGCATGCTCAGATCTCGTACTGCGGACCCTGGGTAAGTTACTCCGCATAACCAAGTTGAGTTCATGATAATATTACATAAGTAACAGCTATTGAGCGCACAACAAAAATTCAAATTCTTGTAGTTTAGAAGTTGATTAAAATAAGTCTCTTCGACTGGCTGGTTTACACTTAAAAAATGGTCAGTTAGGCTGCATGTAACATTAACACAATAGTCTTTGTATATACACTAAAAAATACACAGCTCTCGGTGTATATAGCCTTCCCATGTACTGTCAAGACTTTCCAACCTAAAAGAAAATGTAACTTAATAATTATCAAGAGATGAGGGAAGGAAGCGACTGTGGGATTTGCATAGCACTAGAATTTAAAGGTTATTCAGAGCTCTAGACAATAAAAAGCTTGAAACTAAACACATCCCACCTAACATAACCACTAAAATTATGTAAATACTTTAGAAAACCCACAACTTGAAGAATGAGACACTTGTGTAACATTTGGGAATCTTTATTGAGGAAACGTTTCGCCAGCCACTGGCTTCTTCAGTCCAATAGAGAAGAACGGTAGAGAAATGAGTAGTAGTTTGAGGTAATCAGTCTTAAATTATTTTAAAACTGCTGTTTTCAAAAAAAAAATATTGGCATTAAAAGTATTAAATGTCAGGTGTCTAAAGACATTATAAAATCCACGACTGAAGCCTAAATGTAGAGAGCAGCAGCAGCACCATTCCTTACACAATATACCAGGGTTAAGAGTGCCCTCTTCTCTCAACAGAGTTTACGTTCACAGGCGGAATTATACTGAAAAATGAGTGGTATCCAGTGGTATCAATCACTGTGCAGCTTACTGCTCGCCTGTAGGGGCGTCAAAACTCTTACTTTCATGTTAATACAAAGAGAACGAACTTGGCCTAAGTTGTTGGAAGGTGAAAGCAGCTTGTTCTAAGTCTTTAAACAGCAGCATTTCCCTCAGACTGAAGAGGGTGACGGGTTCTATTTCCTTCTCTTAACTTTTATGTCAAGTCTGTCATTAAAGTGGTCATTCGTAGCTAAAAAATTCATCTTTGGACTATTGTATGCAATAGGGAACTTGTGTATCGTTCGTCTTTTTTTTTGAACATTGTGATTTTTAACTCTAGGATCAGTTCGCATAATAACGTTTTGTTCAAAAACTTAAGGGAAACAGAATGTCACACAGTTAATACCCACAGACCAAAGAAAAATCGCCTGTTGATTTAATAAATGCTAATAAAAAATTGAATAACCAGACACGTGCCAACATTTGGTATCTTCATTCGGGCGAGTTTTTCGCCTCCAGTGGTCATCAAACAAAATTAAGATACCCAGATGTGACGAGTGGTTAATTTCATGAATTATATTAGAATGGAGGTCGCTGTGTACCTGGAACAACAGTCCTGCACAACCAGTGGTGGCCGGAACAATCTAGTCTGAAGATTTTAGTGTGAACATCCATGTGAGGAGGGGCAACATATATGTAAAAAGGACACATGTGCAACTAATCTTTTTTTATTGTGGCATTAGTTGCACATGTGTCCTTTTATATAACATTGTCGGTAATTCTACCGTCATTATTTAAATTTTTTTAAGGTAAGTCTTGACTATTTTTTGGCACTGGGTGATATATAAATCGTCTGAATATTCTTATTATTATTCTTTTTAAAGAGTTGTGGTTGTTGTTCTTTTGATCAAATATAAAGAATCCATGATAGCTGGAACTAGACTGGTGCATGACTGACCTGTTCCACATACACAACAACCTACATTATTAATACGATTCGTGACTAGTATTTGAGACTTCTTATTACACTATTTTTGTATCTTACCATAATTTACCGTTATTTTTAAAGAACAGCCTATATTATCTAGCAATAAAAAAAATATTTGCTTATTGATAAAAATACGTCTCGCTTGAACTATGTACAGACGTTCAGGTAATTAATGTGAAAGGGAACATTTAAGATTAATTTATTTTTTCCCACAGCTGAATTCCCAGAACGGGTGAGGAGCAACTGCAAACCCGCTGCAATTCTGATCAACGGCGAACTTACCAGAATATCCTCAGCCAAGTCAGCTCCGAATATCCTGCTCAGTTCAACACGTTGAGGGACTCTTCCTGTCCTAGACTGACACTCAGCGCTCTCTGACATGCCTAGGACAGTACAGCAGCCTACATCTCTGCTAGTACACCTTGGAAAATTTTGCAGCCTATACCACTGCCAGGCATGATTAGAATATAGCAGCCTACACCACTGCAAGGCATGACTAAATTTAAAAATATGGCCTACATTTTAGCTTGACGTCTAGGCTACTGTAAAAGTCAAACCTTTGTTAATACGCTCGGGTGTTGCATCAAGCTGGGTGCTCTAGCATCAGTGCACAAACGTCCAGCCTCAACACCTGCTGCTCCACCTTTCCCATTAAATTCAAGTTCACCTTCACTGAATGTTATTTTATATATCAGTCCTCCATTTAACTGATAATTGTTTACTCATGTTATAACACTGTAGGTAGAAGCACAATATCTTTGGGATTGTTTACACCTAAACCAAAAATATATAATGCTACTTAAGTTGACTTTTAATGAACATGGTGTAAATATAATGGACACTGTCATTGGAATTTAGGAACCTCCAGGGAAAACAATAAATTATTCTGTATATTTTCGACCTTTAACTAAAGTCATCTTCAGCAGAAAAAGTGAAAAAAAATATTTACATTATTAGCGGAGAAAGTTCAAAACATATATAGAGGAATCGTTATATGCAGCTTGGAGTCACCGACCTATCATTACCTCAGCCCAGGATTGATTTTAATTAACAGGAAAACAAAAAACTCTCAAGAGACAAAATAGCATCTGGGGAAGGGAGGCATTCCAGTTCATTTCACAGCCGGGGACGGTCATTTGCTCGTTCGATGGTAATTTCAATGATGCGCTGGAATGTTACCTAATGGTAGATTTAAAACTCGCATCAGGGCCTCCGCTAGTCCTGCGGAATGTTAGTTGGGAGGAATCAATTAGTGCAGATTCAATTATTGTTTAAAAACTGCAGTCTACGTGTATATTAGTTTTCCCCCCCATAAATGTGATTGCGACGGCTAATTTTACGCATCTTTTATGCTCAATCAAGTGTACAAATTTCTACCAGACTTGTCAGACAGCAACATCATGGAATCCGGTACAGATGACATCACAAACCACTTGCTAATCCTGGCCCAACTCTTGGGAGGACCTGCTTCCACGGTGGCTCCCACATACAGTGACAGTGCCTTCACCTTTTGCACATCACCTGACTTCATTATATAAGCGCCAATCTTCCTGCCTAAAGAGTCAACACATCAAAAAACACTTGTACAGATGATGTAAGACATGCTAGAATATCCTTGTGTACCCATGGCATTAACAACTAAAACCAACATGCTACAGTCCAGAATAGAGGACTCCCGCTTCATCACAGGCACCAAGAGGAAGAATCAAGTGGAACATCTACCATCCAACACGACATAGATGCAATAAATGTAAGACTTGATAAACTAAAGAAGAGACAACTGTTTTGTCATGCAAAAACTATATATCAGACAGAAAAACCCTCCCCAACCAGTATATACTATTGACTACATCACTACACCTCCCCACAGAACCCAAAGATGACCCTCCAGAGCACGCGAACGATTCATCCACAAGGATAATTTCCAGAGACCCATAATCCTGAGCAACTTCCCAGATGTAGGATGAACGGGTTTAAAACCGGAACCTTTTATGTCCAATAAGGGATATCACCCCCCCAATTTATGGAAACTTCCCTTTTAAAATTATCAACTAATAATCTAAACAGTAAATCTGCATTACTATGCCCCTCAAGGAAGGGTTTCCTTGATGTTGGTGAGGGGCCCCTTGATTTAGGGAATTGGATCTTTTTCTCCCGTTCCCCGAATTAAGCCTGAATGCCTTCCACATCCCCCCCAGGCGCTGTATAATCCTCCCGGGTTTAGCCTTCCCCCCTTGATTATAATATAAAATAATAATGCACTTACTATGGCAAGACCACCTCTGAAGCAGTTGAGTCGGCCAATATCTTCAGGTAGCAGTAGATCCACATCAATTGCCTTGCTGTCATTTTCAGTCTGCTTCCTGCAATCGCAAAAAAAGGCAATTACAAATAATATACCCCTTACCAACTCAACATCATGCAGTTTATACCTTTGTTATAACTGTGTGAAGCCCGATGGGGAAGTGTTATACCCCATTCAATGAAACTGATTTCATTAATGACACTATACACACAAATACTAAAATTTCACCAAAGTGGTGAGGCCACTTACCTTTATTATCCTCCCTCCACCCACCCTTTTCATATATTTCCATCCTTTTCCATCCTTCCCCGTCTTACAAAAGCTGTGTCATACAATTTCAAGATTCAACAAAACTACTGTGCTCAATACCTGCTCCTGGGCTGAGGGACTAATTACCTCGTCCTTTACTGTCTTGTGTATATAATTCTGCGAGGTTGAGAAACTGATTACTTCTTTTTGAACAGTCTTTCGTTTGTCATTGTATTAACCACTGACCTGGTGAAACGTCCACAAAATAGATGCCCAGATATTGCACATGTGTGTGATTCATCTTCGTTTCATCTTTTAGTCCAGGACTGAACTTTATCAAGTAGGATAAATACTCGATAAAGTCCAGTCATGGACGAAACATCGTAATTAAGGTTTCGCTAAACTATCTTGTGAATATTATGGTATACAATACCGAGAAGTTAGACAGGTGCAACAGTTTATCTTCATTCCAAAACGTTTCGCCCACATAGAAGGCTTTTTCTACAGAATATAGAGGCAGCAGAAGTAAAGACAATGTAATCAGACCCTCAGCCTGGAGAAGAGTTCTGCTCCATATTATAATCAAAACGAAGCGCTAAACCACAAGGGCTATACAGCGCTGCATAGTCTGGAACAATGTGAACCTGACCAACAAAATGGAGATTTGTATACTGTCAAATGTGAAGAGGAGAATTTTATTTTGAGGACAGAAGAGGCAGAGTCCACTAGTAGAAGTAAAAATGTAATCCTTGCGAAGCAGTGTAGCAACCTACTACGTACGTTCCCTCTCATATCCAACCTTCTCACTCATAACTAGTGGTCAGGCAACAGTGCCTGACCAGTAAGTTCACTGCTGACCACCTCATAACTACGTCTTCGAGGCTGGTGGAATGACTGCGTCGTCTTTACATTGCTACTGCTTCTGTATTCCACTGGATGGTTTCTTCAGTCCTAATTAAGGACTGAAGAAGCCATAGTGGCGAAACGTTTCCTCTATGTCCTGAACTGTATATAAGTATCTTTTTTTCATATCTTGTCAGTATACCCATAACATTTTTCGACTGAAGAATCCTACTACATAGACGAAACGTTTCAGAATAAAGATACCAACTGCTGCACATGTGTCTTACTTGTCAACTTACACCATTGTTCATCCACACCCTGGCTGTCTACATTTTTTAAACCTTTTCCTAGTTATTGTAGAAAGTATACGTGTAGGGTGTTCTGGGGGTCAATGCCTCCGCGGCCCGGTCCATGGCCAGGCCTCGCGGTGCATCAGGGCCTAATCTACCAGGCTGCTACTGCATGGTAGATCAGGCAGTACGTCTGCGTGCTGCTGCACGCAAACAGACGTACGAACCACAGCTCCTCCTTGAAGACAGCCAGGGGTCTATTGGTAATCTCCCTTATGTATGCTGGGAGGCAGCTGAACAGTCTTGGGCCCCTGACACTTATTGTGTTGTCTCTTAGCATACTCGTGGTGTCCCTGCTTTCACTAGGGGTCTGTTCCACCGTCTGCGGAGTCCAATTCCTTGGATTAAAATAACTTCCCCGGCATAAGGATACCTCATACTCCTCTGGAGGGTCGGTTCATGAAGACAGAGTGGTTCTTCCCTCACAAGATGTATGCTTGGTGAAGTCAACATTACACAAAGGGTGAATGAACGTGGGCCAAGGATGCAGACTGCAACACATGCAAGTCATCACTGGCTGCAGTATATTACAGATTATTATTATTATAATCAAAAAGAAGCGCTAAGCCACAAGGGCTATACAGCGCTGCAGGGTAGGGAAGGAAGCGAGGGTACTGGATGGCAGAAGGGAGGAGGGATGATCAGTAGGTTACAGAAAACAGCGGGGCAGGGGATAGTACGGGGGTAGGGGGTAGCAAGAGATTGAAGTAGAAAGGGCTGAAGGTATCAGAATTTGTGAAGTAAGTCAGTTGTTGTCAAAAAGTCAATGAGAGAGTCTGGATGAAAGGTAGGTCCATCAGCGAGAAGGGAAGGTAAAGAGAGAGCAGCAGAGCGAAGACGACGACGGAGGTAAATTCTGCGTGCTCGTTGATAAAGTGGGCAGTCCAACAGAATGTGGCTGACTGATAATGGAACTTGGCAATTCTCACAGAGAGGAGCAGGGCGCCTCTCCATGAGATATCCATGAGGAAGACGAGTATGGCCAATGCAAAGACGGGAGAGAGTAGTCTCCCAACCTCGACACTGGTGATAAGAAGACGGCCAGTAACCTATACTCGGTTTAATAGATTGAAGTTTGTTGCCGAGCATAGTAGACCAACGTTGTTGCCAACGGGTGTGAAGTTGGGAAGATATTGCAGCAAAATAGTCCGTAAATGGAATACCTCTACATGAAACTGGTAGGTCATGTACTGCTGACCGCGCAGCAGTGTCTGCCTGTTCATTGCCCTGTACGTCAACATGACCAGGGACCCAACAAAAAACAATATCTTTATGCTTGGTAAAGATGCGGCGTAGCCAAAGTTGGATACGGAGGACTAAGGGGTGAGGTGTATCAAATTTCTGTATAGCCTGTAAAGCACTAAGGGAGTCTGAGACAACCACAAATGATGACACAGGCATAGATGCAATACGGATAAGTGCTGTAAGGATGGCATACAATTCAACAGTAAAAATACTAGCCGAAGATAGTAAATGCTCTTGTACGACGCTGTCCGGAAACACTGCTGCGAATCCGACGCCATCAGAAGACTTAGAGCCATCTGTGTACACAGCAATGGCATGAGAATGAGAGTGAAAGTGGTCAAGAAAATGAGAGCGGGAAGCGACCG